TCTGTATTTACTCATCTGTATTGAGGAAGCATGGAAATGGCTTCCCGGCTAAACAGGAAGCCGGGCTGGTGAGTTATTACACTCCGCCCTGGCTTTCTTAATGGGACTTCCGGTATCAGTATTCGGTATCGGCAAGTCCCGGGAAAAAAATATCGGTACTCCTATACCGAAAAACTTGGTATCACTGCATCCCTAGTTTAAAAAAAAATGTTTAAACTTCCATTAAGGATAGTGGGAGTTCTAATCACGATAAGCAAGGTATTCAGCTTGTAATGGAAAGGAAGGTTCTTTCACATATAATCCAACCTAGTCCCTTTTATCTTTAGCTGTGTTAGTACTTGTGTTTACACACATATATAGAAAAGTAGCGCTGAACATTCTTAAGGAATGATCTGACATTTGCCATTTGTATCCTTTTAAAGTGGATGATTTCAGATCTCTCTCTGAATGACACCTCTAAATTGTCACAGCTAGCAAGCTCACTTGAAATGTAACAGCCCTATTATGTTAATGCTACAGCTAAAAAAAAGTCAACTGCTGGTATTGGAAATGACAGATTGGATGTTGCGTCTCTTATTCCTGCTCTGTAATTGTGTAGATTCTAGGACTTCACAGAAAGCATTGATTGTTTCATTCTATTTCAGATACAATTCACTGACATCCACACTTTTACTTAATGGGAGCATTCCACACTTCTACTTGTATACTTTCTAGAAATAAATGTGCTGTTATGTGCATAAAATGTATATATAGAGAAATTAATTTTTTTTAGATGTACCTGTTTGCATTCTTTTTGTAGATATTTTACTTTACCAGCACTTGAAATGGTGAATTGCAATTTATAAAATCTGTGTATCTAACATTCCTGACCCCAGTAGTTTAGCTTATTATACTTTCAAACATCGCCTGCATCAAACTTAAAGCGGATGTAAACTGGATGACATTATGTTATCCAGTGCAGTAGCAAAATTAAATACCTTTTTTTTTTAATGTTTTTCTTTTAGAAATGTTTCTGTCTTCTTTTTTTTTTTTTGTTTTTTTTTTTTATCCTTTCTTTGCATCTCATTGTTGCTTTTTTTTCCCCCAGTCTGCATGGTCCAGCAATGGCTTCTGACATTGCTCAGGGTGGGCTACATGAGCATGATAGTGTTGTAACATTCCTGCACAATTACCATCGGCATGGCCACTTGTCCACCAGCAGTGCATGTGACAGGGCGACAACATAGGAGAGCAATTGGTGCCAAGTGTTTTTACCCTAACTCTTAAAGTGAATGAAGAGAAAAACCCTCATGGCTTCCCCATTTTTATTTTAAGGAAATCTACAGATTCAGAGAGATTGAAAACTATGACATTCAAGTCAAAGATTACATGAGATGTTAATAATTGGGTGTATATCTGCTGTAATATGGTTAATTGAAGCAATCGGATGGCCACATGAAAGTGCACAATGGCTGATTTAGAAACAATTTACCAGAGGAGGAGGCAACACATGTGTTAATCATAGAAACTAGGCACATACCAGAAATCAATTTTATGTGCTAACTCCTAAGTGATGATGGACCAGTTACCATCTTTAGAATAATTGAGAGAATTACTAGTGTTTTGTATATTTTATTTATTACCTTCATAACTAAAAATACAATTTTATTGTTTTATTACTTTTTAAACAGGTTAGTATTACATGTTGCCAGTAGGGACTCCTGACTCCAGGTTTTCCATAGAGATTTGCTACAATGCTGCTATTAAGGCCTATTCACCACACACATGCGTGAGTTGAAGAAAGGATATACCTTCCTTCCCCTTCTAGCTTATTAGGGTGTCGGAACCAAGAAACCAGACAGAAACTGCAGGTTAAAAAAAATAAAGGCGTTTATTGAAAGTGACAGTAAACAAAATAACAAACGGTAGGTTAATCCAAGACGTAGTCAGAGCCAACCCAGAGGTCATAAGCCAAAGTGGGTAGTCAGCCGAGCCAGGTCTGGGAATGCAGCGAGCAAGATGAACGAATACAGTAGCTGGAGTCTGGAACCAGGAGATCAGTAGACAGAGCCAGGATCATACACAGAGCACAGGAAGTAGCAGAGAGCACATGGTAGGTCTGAAAAAATTCAAGGGCAGAAACCAAGTGAAAAGACTGATAATTATATAGTGAACTATAGTTGCATCATCATTGTGAGACAGGAAGTTGCCAGGAGTTTGCCAGTATTACTATTTATATTATACAGCATTTATATAGGCGCAACAGTCTGTGCAGCGCTTTACAATTTATGTAAGACATTACTATACAATTCAAGACAAGATGGTAAGGAGGGCCCTGCCCGCGGGAGCTTACAATCTAAAAGGTCGCAGAATGATCACGTTTATAGGTTTAGTCATAAGAGGGCGTCTAGAAACACTGTACAGAAGCTGAACCTGCAGCTCAATAGACAAGGAAGAAACCCTGACAAAGGGCCCATATAGGCTTCTGGTTAGACAGAGGCTGCCAACAAGTGAAATTGTAGCTTTCTTACTAGGAAACCCAGTGTGCTTTGCTATCTACATGCTGTAGTTGAACCCTGTGTTAAGTATTTCTTTATAAAACAAGTTAAAAATATAGACTCAATGGGGGGAATTTATCAAAACTGGAGCAGACAAAATCTGGAGCAGTTGCCCATGGCAACCAATCCGCTTCTCTCTTCAATTTGTTCAGTTAAGATTTGAAAATGAAAGATAGAAGCTGATTGGTTGCTGTGAAGGGCTGCTCCAGATTTGATTAATTCCCCTCAAAGGGTTTTAAACATGTTACCTTTTTTATTTAAGCTTAGAACTGAAGGACCCTATGACTCCACCAGCAAGATCTTAGTGTCTGGCTGTTAATACCAACTGTGGGGTGAGGGTGTTTATGGTATACCCCGGTATTCCCATTCCCCCTAAAAGAAAAAAAATGCAAAACTCCATAATGAAGAATGGAATTCCTTCATACAAAACTATAAAGCAGTTTAACTCTTTAAAGTCTGATAAACAAGTCTCTAGTAGACTCGTCTATTAATATTAGTTTTGCAAATTTGACACACAATGATGCCGTGCGTTACAACATTGAGAGCTGCCCAAGTAGTGTTATGTAGAAGTTTTATTCTCAAGTAAACATCAGTTTTTACAGAGCTTGATATCCCATGGGGCTTCAGCTCTATGAGTATGTTCATTATAATGCTCCATCCACGGGCAAAACAAAGAAGGCTTTGTTCCTGCATGGTGATTACAATAATGTGTTATTTATGTCTTTGTGTACACATCACATAAAATGTTCTCCTTGTGTCTTTCTACGTACATTATGCTTGCCTACAGTGCAAAGCTGAAAAATATAATTTCAATATGAAAGCTGCCACAAGGGTACCAATTATACAGTCGGATCCTATTATCTTAAAATTGTTTTCTGTGTGAACTGGGCTGATGTTTTACCTGCTGCTTAAAGCAAACCTTTCTTTTGGTAAATTGTCATGAATTAGAAGCTGGGATACAGTTCAGGCAGCCTCAAGGAACAGTACATTCAGTGCCGCACTCAAGATCCCTAAAATTCTGTCTCTGTATTGCATTCCAGGTGCTATATCAGGTTTCGTGGTTTTTTTGTGGGGTTTTTTTTTTTTTTTTTTTTTTACAGACCGAAAGGTTCTCTTTAATTTATTGTAAATTTATTTCTGTGCTATCCCTGATAATACATAACCTTATATTCTGTCTGTATATATTCAGAGTGTTTCTGTTTAGAATGTAGATTTAAATATTTTTATATTGCATTCATGAATAAGTTAGATATTTAGCTTTCATGAAATCATCAACTGCATTTCAGTGGGGTGTAAGTGAATATGGTAGCCAAGATGGAGTTCAGTGGATACAGCTGTTCCTGGCTGGGATAGTGCTGATATTATCGGGGTTATTCACTAAAGGGTGAAGAGTTTGGAGCAGGCAGGAGAAGTGAACAATCTAGGACAAAATAGCTGATTTGGAAACATTTTCCAGATCAGCTCACTTTCCAGATCAGCTATGTTGTCCTAGATTGTTCCCTTATCCTGCCTTCTCCAAACTCTTCACCCTTTAGTGAATACATGAGTTTCTTTGCCACGTCTGTCACCCATGCAGGCCCCATGGACCTCAATGGGGATGTGATGCAAACATGGCACACGAACACGCGTGAACTTTACGCATGTTTAAGCCACGTGCAGGTGTAATTGCAGGAATAAAGAAAACAAACTGTAAGACATTGTACTCCTGTTATGTTTTTAATGCACTTGAAATACATTAAGTGGACCTAACCTGAAAGGTTAGTTGGGGCTTGAAGGCGATACTCCCGCTAAGCAGTCACTTTCAAAGAGTGCACTTATGCTCATCTGCACAACACTTCCACTGCTGCTCCTGTCTTTATAGCTGCCACTGCCCTCCACAAAACCTGGTATGGGGGAGCATGTGACTTCCTCCCATAACACAGTATTCAGACCTAGCACCCAATCACAAGGCCCAGTCACTGTGACTTGATGTAAAGGGTAATGACTAAGTTCCAACACTGAGTATGTTGCACTGGCTGTGATGGAGGAAGGAACGGTGGGGGAGCACTGTGAACGTGAATATCACTTTCACATCTGAATGGCATTGTCGGATGTGGTGCATACAGCAGGATTGAGAAGTTCCCAGGGCACAGTTGAGGTAGTTTGAACGTTTGTAATTGTCCTCTTCAGGCACTGACTGGTGTCTATTAATGCATGTGTCAGTTCCATGGCTCGTTTCTAAATCCAGGTTTGCTTTAAGCCGAATCCAACAATATTTCTTTTTCTGTACTTTTTTGTGAATTTCCATTTTCTTTATATCTCACCTTGAAATTTCATAGAGACATTTCATATCAAACTTTCAGTGCAGAATAAGTGAAACCACAAATGTACTGTTGAGATAATACAGTGCTTCAAAATGATTCTGCTGTTTATCCAAAGTGATCAAATGTTCTGACTTCATATGTCCACTTTTCATTTTAACAGGTGTGGCAGAAGTAAGTAAAAAGAAGCTGAAGAAAAGGAAGGAGAAATCCAGATCTAAGAAAAGGAAGAAAAGGTAATCTTTGAAAATGGTTTCAGATTGTGGCTGCTTAAATATGCTGCTCTGTAAATACTTCGACATATAAATGGTAGCTGCATAGAATTCTTTTTTTTGGTGCTTAAAGGAGAACTATGAGGTGAGTGCTTTTCACTCACCTCATAGTTCTAGCCGACCTGTGACAATGAGACTGTCACAGGTCGGCTCAGTAGATCGGGAGGTGAGCGAACACATACCAGCGTTCGCTCATCTCTCGTTCCTGTCACGGCTCTCTGCCGTGACGGGAGGGGCTGGGTTCCCAGCCCCTCCAGAATGGACAGGGGAGGGGGCGTGTACAGCTGGCTCTGCCTCTAGATAGGCAGAGCCAGCTGTCAGTCACGCAGCTGGGCGGATCCCGGCACAATTGTCGGGATCCGCTTCAGCTGCGGCGTCTCAGTATACTGCGAGCAGCACCTGGTGGTATACTGCGGCGTCTCAGTATACCGCGAGCTACAGGCCTAGGGTGACGGGAGGACGCTAGTTTGTGTCCTCCCGTTACCTTAAGGAGAACTATGAGGAAAAGCCTTAACCCCATAGTTCTCCTTTTAATACAATATTTTACTTTTCTTTCTGTAGCCCTGAATAATCTGTTAAACAGTTTGCTATTTAGTGTAATGGCTTTTTAGAGGATGTGAAAAATACTGCTAAAAAACCCAGTGTAGTGCTATCTTAACAGCATCTATAATATAGCTTTTCTTAACAGGAATCTTGTGTTGGGTATCAACAAGAGCATTTAGTTTGCCTTAGGTAAGATTAAGAAACAGGATGGTTCAAGAACTCAAGTCTAATAGAAAAACAATATATGTGCCTTTTTTAAGGAGCTGATGAAATCACAAAATATTACCTGTTAACCCTTTTTCCTGCAGTTATGTCTGACACCCTAAAAGGTTTTGTGTCTGTGCTCAACCCCCCATTACATCATGGTGACGGATACCACAGCTTGGGGATGTTTCTAACACATTGTGAGAGCTGAACCTTTTTTCCTCCTTTTTAAGACCTCAGTAGTGGCATGCTGGTATAGAAGTATGGGCAAACATAACTCCTATACTAGTACATAATATAGGTAGTATTTTGTTCTTTATACTTTAAAGTGACACTAAACTAAGGAGTTAAGTCTTAAAAATACATTCAAGTACCTTAACTAATAACAAAAATGTATCTTATTTGTGTATCACTCGGCTGTAGATCCTCAAATCATCTCTGAATTGGCGCTTACACTGTCCTTCCTTCTGGAGGGTGGCTACTTTTGTTTCCCATGGCCCCTGTGTGTGTTGTAAAGTAGCCACTGCTCCAAGCTCGCTGCCGTGATGGACTACAATTTCACGTTTAATTTCCTAATTTGTATTGAGATTGTAGTCCATCACAGGAGAGAAAATACACCGGCCTTTATGTGAGGAATACTAATAGAATTTTACATTTATGCCCTAAATGTTTCCATTCAGATTGCATAAAGTGCAAAACATCTTTTTACCAGAATAGAGGGAATAGTTTCTGACTGAGATGTGGGTGTTAATAAACTCCACATAACACAACCATAAAATGAAATGTTTCCCTGTCTGAACTGTAATCATTGTAATAGCACAGAGGCGCTTTAGTCGCAATAAAAAGAGGATCATTTGTGATTTATCTTATCCGGTTTCTAGTTTAAAATGTTCATGGCATCTTCTTTATGTAGGAGAGACCCTTGAAATGGTCAGGTACAGAATTTCAGCACAAAAGTATGTCATTTAGAAGAGGACATATAGTCCATTTTCATGAAGTATGGCATGATATTTTGCAATTACAGCTCCAAGGTATTGATTAACTAAATATTGTATTTGAGGTAATCGCGACACATGGGATTTACATTGTTTACTAGGGGGTCTTAATCGGAGTTTGAGTCTTTTGGGGAAAGGGGGGTATAATTTACCCAATACATAAATACAGCTGCCAGGCTAATTAAGGGTAACTTTGGGGTTAAATAGAAACACAGGGTTTTATTTTCTTTTTATACTCGCAAGGGTGCTTTACCAGACAATATATGCAGATGAAAGGCCACCCCTTTGATCTGCTGTGAATAAACCAGAGATGTTACAATAAAGAAATAATAGGATTGTTCATTGTTACTCTTTTGAAGATGCTGTTCTAAATGTAATTTCATACTGGGACAGAAAGATCTGTCCCTATGTAAATAATACAAGTACCATTTGTAAAAAAAATAGCTGGGACTTGTGGACAAATGTGGCTGGAGAGCTGCCGGAGAGGAGGAGGGGATGGGCATGCTACAACCTTTAAAATATTTACAAATTGCACACTCATAATACACACCTGTTTTTATAAATACCCCCTTATGCATCTTAAACCGTTATCGTGGGCTATATATAAAGTGTGTGTGTATGCGTGTGTGCATATATGTACATACACTATATTACCAAAAGTATTGGGACGCCTGCCTTTACACGCACATTAACTTTAATGACATCCCAGTCTTAGTCCGTAGGGTTCAATATTGAGTTGGCCCACTCTTTGCTGCTATAAAAGCTTCAACTCTTCTGGGGAAGGCGTCCACAAGGTTTAGGAGTGTGTCTATGGGAATGTTTGACCATTCTTCCAGAAGCACATTTGTGTGGTTAGGTAATGATGTTGGACGAGAAGGCCTGGCTCGCTGTCTCCGCTCTAATTCATCCCAAAGGTGTTCTATCGGGTTGAGGTCAGGACTCTGTGCAAGACCAGTCAAGTTCCTCCACCCCAAACTCGCTCATCCATGTCTTTATGGTCCTTGCTTTGTGCACTGGTGTGCAGTCATGTTGGAACAGGAAGGGACCATCCCCAAACTGTTCCCACAAAGTTAGGAGCATGAAATTGTCCAAAATGTCTTGGTATGCTGATGCCTTAAGAGTTCCCTTCACTGGAACTAAGGGGCCAAGTCCAACCTCTGAAAAACAACCCCACACAATAATCCGCCCTCCACTAAACTCTACACTTGGCACAATGCAGTCAGGCAAGTACCGTTCTCCTGGCAACCGCCAAACCCAGACACATCCATCGGATTGCCAGACAGAGAAGCGTGATTGGTCACTCCAGAGAACACGTCTCCACTTCTCTAGAGTCCAGTGTGGCAGCGTGCTTTACACCACTGCATCCGACGCTTTGGATTGCACTTGGTGATGTAAGGCTTGGATGCAGCTGCTCAGCCATGGAAACCCATTCCATGAAGCTCTCTACGCACGGTTGTTGTGCCAATCTGAAGGCCGCTCGAAGTTTGGAGTTCTGTAGCTATTGACTCTGCAGACAGTTGGCGACTTCTGCGCACTGTGCGCTTCGGCATGCACTGACCCCGCTCTGTCATTTTACGTGGCCTAGCACTTCGTGGCTGAGTTGCTGCTGTTCCCAGTTGCTTCCACTTTGTTATAATACCACTAATAGTTAACTGTGGAATATTTAGTAGCAAGGAAATTTCACAGATGAGCTCCTGAGAGCGACCCATTCTTTCACAAATGTTTGTGAAGCGTCTGCATGCCTAGGTGCTTGATTTTATACACCTTTGGCCATGGAGGTGATTGGAACACCTGAATACAATGATTTGGAGGGGTGTCCCAATATGTTTTATTCATCTTTTTTTGCATAACAGTGCTACTGATCTCTTGCAGTCTATTTCAGCCCCCTCCTCTACATGCAGTTTTTCCAGTGTCACTTGCACATCATTTCTCTGAACCAGCTTTCTGATAGTTCCACCTGTGTACCAATGAGCAATGTGTGTCGCCATGGCCGCTTGTAATCTCAACCAAAGGTGCATGTGAAAAGGTGACAACACAGGAGCACAATTAAGGAGAAAGTTGCCACCGCATAGCAGGAAGTGCCTAAACAAGCACTTTCTTTTTTTTTTTTTTAATTCTTTATTGACTGAGAAAAAAGTCAAGTACAGAAAACCATTGTATGTGGTTACAGAGTATGGGCATAAATTCCACAGAACTCGTAATAAAACGGATTACTCCGCATCAAGGTAACATAACCCGACTGAAAAATAAAACACATCCGAATAATCATAACAGCTTAGTACAGTCTCAGGTGCGTCAACCGTCCCATTCAGCCGTAACAATTCTGTACATTAAGGCTCTACGACTAAGTACTATTCTCGGGAGAAGACAGTGTCTCTTAGTTGAAGAACAGATAATAGCAGAAAAAAGTGGGAGAGGGTGCAGAGGGTCGGTTCCGATGACCGCGTCTTATAGAAGAACCGTTGAATATCGGAGCCCGGGGTCACCGCTGAAGCACCGGGTGTCCGTTTAGCTTGCGACATGCAGAGAGGGTGAGAGAATAGAGTCCACAGAGTCCATTAACTGGTCAGGGGGAACAGAGCTCCGGCAACGTGCGTCTTCACTCGGCCATGTCTTAGCCACGCCCCCTAAACAAGCACTTTGATGGCATCTTTGCTAGGTATTATTTTTTTTCTTTCTAATTACTTATATAGAAGCTTGCAGAAGTAGGGTAGACCGTAATAAAAACAGTCAGTAGGTACAGTAAACACCAGTCACCCAGCACCCACAGGGATCAGTAGGTGCCGGATAACTTTAGTTTCTGGTTGCTTGAGAATTAATATTAACCTCCCTGGCGGTATGATTTTTTCTTTTCTTTGTTCCTTTTTTCGTTCTATTTTTTTTGTTTACTTTTGAATCTCCTGCTGTTTCCGCCCCCCTGCGACGTGGACGCTCGCAAGGGACGGAACCCGGAAGACAGATGCCGTCATCGGCCGGAGGACACAGTGTGGCTCGAGGGACAAGGTAAGAGACGCACTGTGGCTTGTGGTTACCGCTTATGGTACAGAAAATGAACCCCGAGCCACACTCGGGAATACCGCCAAGAAGGTTAATTCTCAAGCAACCACCCCACCTACCATAGTTGTTCACAAAATCTGTCAGTGCGCACCAAGCAACCGACACATTTTTTTAGTGTGCATCAAGCCACGGGCAAAAAAAATTAAAAATTGAGGACATATGTCCTCGATTTTCTGGGGGTTTTTTTGCGGATTGCTTGAGAGTGCTGGTTGCTTGAATGCCGGATAATGGGGAGTTTACTGTATACTGTTCGCCCAAGAGTCATTACACACAGGAGGAGAATTACAATTAAAACAGGCATATACTAAGAACTCCTGTAGCAAACCTTCACAACTAGAAATATACATCAAGAACATAATCATATTTCACACTCTACAAGACTCAAACATTTTTACTCAGTATAGCTATCAGGGAAATAAACAATCAAACCAAAACAATAAGCATAAGGGAAAAAAAATAGCAGAGTAATCATACTTTGACTAAGCAGCATAGACCAGTAGACCAGAAAATAAAATAACAGACAAGAAATAGAAATAGAGGGAGCGCTGGGGCTGAGGGAAAAGTCGGCTAGGTATTATTTTAATGAAATGCAGAATTTAAAATATTATTCAAGCTTTTGTGTAACATGTTAAAGAAAACATGAGCTTTTAGTGGTTGGGTTTATGTATGTTATAGTGGTTGGGTTTATGTATGTTATGCCTACACTAATAAAAGGTGTAAAAATGGGAAATACATTCTTAAAGTATAATGTCCTTTACCTCCTATAGTTGATGAGATTAGCAGATGTTCTCTACGCAATGGGTCAAACGTTGATCGGTCTTTTCTCAATCCCTTGTTTATCAATAACTTTAGCTGATATGTTCTCACAGGACAGCTCCCTCTAAGGACCACTTTCCAATACTGAACACCTGCAAATAATGATTGATTTATGGCTGGCCAATAATATCAAAGCTTTGTTTATCAACAGCTTGGCCTAATGTGCCAGTCTCTCAAGTCCTCTTCCAGTAAACGGCAAATATACAGTTCCCAGGTTAAAGTCATTGGGGGGAATTTATCAAAACTGGAGCAGACAAAATCTGGAGCAGCTGTGCACGGCAACCAATCATGATAATGTCTCACCGACTCAAGGCTGTCGCATATACTCCATGTGTCCTAGTCCCAGGACGTTTAGGGGTTTTTATCAGCAAGACTCCTCCACACATCCCTCGTGTGTCACTGGCTCTCTAAACCACCTCGGCTGTCTCCTTGGTGCCTCCAACACACGCACAGCCACCTGGCTCCACTCTTCTTGGTGGAGTCTTGCTGACTCCTGAACACAATGATGGGAATTATATCAGAACTGGAGCAGACAAAATCTGGAGCAGTTGTGCATGGCAACCAATCAGCTTATCTCTTCAGTTTGTTGAGTTAAAGATTTGAAAATAAAAGAGAGAAGCCGATTGGTTGCCGTGCAATCAGCAGCTGTCCCAGATTTTGTCTGCTCCAGTTTTGATAAATTCCCTTCATTTATATATGCATTAATACTTAAATTCATCTTAAACTACTTTAGTTCTTGTACATTTATAATGCCTGCGGATCAGTGCATTTTGTTACATTTCTGCTATGGGCCTATTGATCAAGGTATACATTTGTCATTACTTAAGTAAAACATATATCCCTTTTTTAATACAAACAAGCTTTTTTACAAACAATATTTTCTTGGAAGAATTATTTTCTTTTCTTTATGTAGACTGTAATAAAAATTAAAAAAAAATTTCCTCCCTCCTATAACAAGTGTTGGTATATAAACAAGTTTTATTACTGTACATAAATAGGGCACTTTTGTATTTTATCATTTGTCCATTTTCGGACTTTTTTGGGTCTAATTAAAAATGTTTTGACACAAGATTCAAATACTTTTTAATTAGATTCCATTCGAAAAATGTGTGAATCTTGGTTGCAAAATGTAACCTCTTAAATCACGTTACAAGACATGAGTTATTTTTAAGGCAATCATTAAAGAAAACAGAAAGAAAGTTTAATAGTTGAAAAAAAAAAAAAAAACTGGCAACAGAGGAATAGCGAACAGGAAAAGGGGAGGTAGGAGATAATAAGGGCTGATTAGGGATAACGAAGGGTTAATGTGGAGGAAAGCCGTTTATTTCAATGCACGGCAACAACCTGAAATAATTTTTTTTTTTGGGGTGCAATTAAAAATGAATGGCAATGGACCACAGTTTGTTCATGTAACATTTGTTGTGGTAACGTATAAATGTGAATCCAGTCTTAAAGCAGAACCCATGGCCATCTACACAAAAAAAAAATCAAATTTATGTTAATATAATAATTAAAACTGCATAAACAAGGACATTAAATCAGAACTCTGGGAAAAACATTATTAACCCTTGCAGTGGGGCTACCCCCACACTGCAAGGGTTAAATGCTCGTTTTGGTCCAGGGACTAAACTAAAGTTGTACTCACCTGAATCTCGAAGCTGGCCTGCTGTCACAACACTCCCACCTGCCGCCTCCTCTGCTGCAGCAATGATTTGTCCGTCGGCATCCTCATGTTCAATACAGTGTATTAGACGTGATGACTCGAGGATCCTTAAGGTGGCCATACACTTTACAAACCTCGCAAGACTTTTATCTTGCGAGGGTTGTAAAGTACTTTTTTTTAAAAAGTACGATCTGCCCATCTTGGACAGGCAGATCGTACTTGCGATCATCGCAAGCCAGCCCCCGTGAGGGATGACTTCAACGAGGGGCGGGCTTTTGATGACTGCAAACGTGCAGTGTGCGCGTGCGCACACCGGCCCATTCGGCAGTTGTCGGACAAGCAGGCCACTAACTCGCCGAGAATCGTACGATTCCCGGCGGGTTTTCCAGCCTGCTTGTTCGACGGAAGACGTGCACACTGCCCGTTCAGCATTGCAGTCATCGGAAGCCCGCCCCCTTAGCGGGCAGGCTTTCCATGATCGCAAGTACGATCTGCCTGCCCAAGATGGGCAGATCATACGAGCTTTTAATTTAGCTCACGCAAGACAAAAGCAAGCCAGCTCTCAAGGATCAGGTGAGTTTTTAACTTTGTGATTTTCCTCCCAAAACACAAAGGAGCACTTAACCCTTTGCAGTGCGGGGATAGCCCCACTGCAAGGGTTAATAATATTTTTCCCAGAGTTCTGATTTAATGTCCTTGTTTATGCAGTTTTAATTATTATATTAACATAAATTTGATTTTTTTTTTGTGTAGATGGCCATGGGTTCTGCTTTAAGACTGGATTCACATTTATACGTTACCACAACAAATGTTACATGAACAAACTGTGGTCCATTGCCATTCATTTTTAATTGCACCCCAACAAACAAAAAAAAGAATTATTTCAGGTTGTTGCCGTGCATTGAAATAAACGGTGTTTGATTTTATTTGTGTAGATGGGCCACAGCCTTAAAAGGGAGCAAACCGCCCTGAAACGTCCCTCAGTATAGACACTAGTTTTATTTTATGAATATCAATCATTTATTATTTAATGAGATTGTGCTGGTAACCAGTTGGATATTTCCCACCTTCAGGTGTCATGAAGATACGACTTGAACACATACATTCTAAATACATCGCTCACTCAGTTCTGATGTATAAATACCATTTTATTTATATTATTTTGTTGCAGATCCTATTCATCGAGTGATTCAGAGGACAGTCCCAAAGCAAAGAAAAGTAAAAGCCACAGGAAAGAAAAGAAACAGAGAAAAGAAAAACATCCCAAGAAAGGCAAGAAGAAAGAGAAACATGAGCGCCATTCCTCATCATCTTCAAGCAGTTTGGATTCCTCCAGCAGTGACTGACTGGTGGCTGTGCTGTGTAGCCAGGACATTTGTGCACAATTAAAGCTTCTGGGTTCTGTCATTATGGAAAATAGCATGGAGACCTGAAATCTATACAAGCAGGAATACTCCTGAAATACTGTGAACAGTGTGCCTTACACACTGTTTATTTTAGGTAACAAAGAAAAAAAGCTGCAGTCTGCTGATTGGGGTCACATTGTATTGACACATTCAGGCTTGTGTAATAAGGTGGTGATGCTGTACAAAATATAACAACCTGTGCGAATGAATAAGCCTGATTAGAATAATTTTGTATGTACTTCAAAAACAATAAATGAATGGGTCATTTTTATATGGATTTTTTTGTTTTATTCTGTTGAGTGTTCTTTTAGTGTTTACTATTGTTTGGTCTCTATTGTTTAATTGAGGCAGTGGTATTGACGCATCTGCTCGCTAGTTTGTGCCACAAATTGTGTCATTGTATGCTTCCAGTTGTATATAACTGTTTCTTCTTTTAAAGTGTGTCTGTGAGGGTATAATAAATGTTTATACCAGGAAAATTTTATTATGGGGGTGGGCAATGAGGCGTTTGGATCAAATTACAACCATTTGGTTGAAATTTGCATAATTGAGAACTATGGGTCTTGGCAGCTCCCAGTGTGCTCTTTATTTAAAGATAAGGTATTTTTCTGCGGTTATACAAGGATTATATGGTCTCCCTTGTTAGATTCTAGTTAGAGAAAATCCAGCGCTAATATAAAAAAAGCAAAAACTTTTCCACACCAATTAATAGCTGCCAACACTTAAAGGGAACAACACTCTAATAACATATACCAAAAACACAAATAAAATAGTGTGGCACTTCAAATAATTACAAAGTGTAAAAACGCTCCTCTGCTAATACTATGACATATTTGCTTTTAGATAACACAGTCTCATTAAGTGCTGGTTATTGACCGAGGCTTTTTTTTGCACCCATGTTATAATCCACGTTTTAGGCCTGAAAATTACTTCAAACATTATATATTTTCTAAAAGCCAAGACACTGTAGAATAAAATGGTGGCAGTTGCAAATTTTTATGTTGCACGATATTAGCGCAACTTATTATCAAACCCAAGAATTGAGAGGAAAAATGCACTTAAGTTAAAGTTAGTGCTCCAAAACACAATAAAATACCCATTTTTTTTAAATATGAACAATGAGGTTACGAGTAAATAGATACCCAACATGCCCAGGTAAAAAATTGTGCGCGTCTGAAATGGCGACAAAATTCAGTACCCCAAAAAGTCAGACGACTTAAAAGCCCCTACAGGTCATCAGTTTTAAAATACTTATAAATATTGGCCCTATAATCATTGCTCTCACTCTGGTGTGTGCGGTGATACCAAACGTGTAGCGCGTTTATTTTAAAATAAAATTTACATTATTTTTACATTTATTTCATTTGATATTTTTAAACTTAGCAATTAAATAATAAAATGTAAAAACAATTCACATAGGGGGGCTTACAAGTCCCCCATGTGATAGCAGATTGGTGGTGACAGGTACTTTTTAGGGTTATACTAGCGGTCTTTTGGACCCCCAGTATCACCTTTCCACTTGAAATAAGCTATTGAAGTGCAGATCACACTTCAATCGCATTTTGCTGGACTTCAGGAGCCGAGCACTGACCGCTCAGGGACCGGAAGTGATGCAATAAGCGTCACTCCCAGTCCCATAGACTTAGCGATCTGGCAACAGCTGAGTCACCAGAATCGCTTCTATTGTAAAGCCGACAGTGGGCTTTACAAATGTAAACAGAATCCGCCGGGAGTCTGTTTAAACAGCCCGCTATGTATGTCACTGGTCACTAAGGGGTTAATATCATTGTCTGTGTATTCAATCCACATACGTCAACTTCTCCTTATCCACACCACTACTGAAAATGACACGAGTAGAATTCTGATGAAACACCATAAAGTGAATTTGCTCACATATGACCTATACTAAAATACTTTAATGTGGTCTCACCAGCATTCTCTTCGTAATAGGGATAGAAATGTTTTTTCTCCGCAGAAGATTTTTGGTCTCCTGGCATTCACCTGGATCCGGCTCAGCTCACATACAGATAAAGAAGAAGGTACATAAATATTAATTTTTATAAATAATTATGCTATCAAAAATAAAAACCTCACATGGAACAAAGGTTTTGCAAAAATGCTTTCATGGCAAAAACAACCACCAGTTTTTAGAAGCTGAAAATCCATTTGGCATGCTGTGGACTTATGCACATGGGCATAATACAGAGTATATATGGTCGTATTTATTCCTGTATTTTTGGGCCTACGTCTGTATGCTTTGGGCTCATGCACACTGGTGTATTGCAGAGCAAATATTTTGTCTGTATTTGCTTTGCAATATGCCCTTATGGTTGCTGAATCATGCAAGTGTAAGTTGCAGTGGAGAGCAATAAGATAAGGTAGGCGGTTATCACAGATTCATGTCCTATCTTATAACAATTCCAGATAATCAATTCTGCCTCTGAGATAAGTCGGCTTGGTCTGCCGAGTACCTATAGGTATGAGATAACAGTCACCCTTTGTGGTTGCAGTTTCCCAGATCAGGCAAGAATCTTTTGTCCATTGACAGCTCCTTGTTCTTCCCACCTAGCTGCTGTAACAAGAGAGATCGATTGTGCAAGTTAATAACCTTCCAGCGCCGCTGATCTCCTCCCCTCACTTTTCATACTAACGAAGATTTTTCCCTGCAGAAAATCGAAGTTGTTGGTCCATTTTGCTGTGTGAAGATGATCTGGCTACTCTTCATAATCTATTGCTTCTTACCTCTTTAGTTTGAAGACAACAAGATTT